ACATTTTGTGCATACATTTTTGCCCACATTTTGTGCATACATTTTTGCCCACATTTTGTGCATACCTGTGGCGTGCGCACAATGGTCGGCACCCAGCTTCGTCCGTATGCACAGGCCACAAACACTGCGCACTGCGAGTCTGTGTCATCCTCACCACAGCACCGTCCCCAGCGGGGGCCCCCTCTCACACTCTCTTCTTGCCGGCTGTGCCACCGCGATCATGTTAAGCGAGATATTATATATTATCGTGTCACGTGCAATTATCTCAATCCTTTAATATAAAAATATACTCATGCGATTTGTGCGCCTCGTTCAGTCTCAGTACATATGTATACACATGCACAGCATATATACATGCTTATTTGTAAAAAAAAAAAAAAAAAAATGGTAGAGAATTCAAAAGAAACACAGTTCGATATAGAAAAAAAAAAAAAAAACAAAAAACAATTCCTCCTGTTTTAGAGAAAGAGGAACGTATCCTACACATTGTTCCTACCAAGTGTTCACATGAACTTATGAAAATGTAACATATGCATCCTGTAGAGTTTTTTTTTTTTTTTTTTTCTACATGATCATATGTACATACATACACATATAGTGTACCAACGTGAAAACGCATATATTTATCCATTTGGCATTTCCCCCTCTTGTGGCTTGCACGCACGCGTGTGGAGGACTTGCATAAGCAGTTCGCAGAATACAAACACTCGTTGTCGCGTACGAGGGCGTATACCATCTCTCTCTCTTACCCGCTTTAACGTGTAAAATTCTCGCTACTGTTGCGCAATTCTATCTTCACGCTAGCTGCCACACTTTGACTTCCCCCATTTTCGGGAGGAAGCATTTTTCCCCAGCTGCGCGTGTATGCTCTCTTCTACATCATATAGCATTCACTCTTGCGTCGTTGTCACCTACACGGTGCTATCATCGCTGCGCCGTTGACACCACCGTACTGCTTGCCTTGCGCCAGCGTACGCACATACGTATATACATATTATTCACTCACGTGTATGCTGGTGTACTCCCTGCCAAGTGCAGGCGCATCCTGCGCAAGCAGAACAACAGTGCTTGGCGACTCGTGCAGGATGCGACACTTGAGTCCTCCCATGCACATGAACTTGAACACCTGTGTGCGACGCAAAATCGGCAAAGTGGGCAGAGAGTCCCACTGCGGCGAAAAGCGTGTGTTTACGCAGTATAACTGGCTTACATTTGCACGTCCCTTTGGCTCACATTTGTGCATGCAATTATGCGCACATAAAGACAGGTGTTAGCACTTCGCAACCCCTATCTACTTAAAATCAGTATTACCTTGCCCCCCTCCTGTCGCTTTAATCTTCCTCATTTTTTTTGCACGACAAGTTAACGCGGAAAAGGCAGTGCTTGATTTAGGTCGAAGTGCGTGGTGTCCTCTCACACGAAAGCGCTTTTTTTTTTTTTTTTTTTTTTAATCTTAATTTATGTTGATTTTATTTACGCGTAACCCATTTTTATTCATTTCTATGGGGACACTTTTTTTTTTTTTGCTGCATTTTTTTTTTTTTTTCACCACCACTTAAAGTATTGCCTTTTTTTCATGCCACATACATAATTAATATTTTCCTTCCCCCCTGCGCTGCTCTAATGCTGTGTATAAATTATATGTATGGTTGCTTTGGGAGCCAGGTCTTTTTAATCTTTTTCAACTTTTTTTCTTGAGTCGTGTTTTACCATCGCGCATACACGTTGTATAAATGTAGCATTTATATGCGTTCCATTTTTTCCCCCAGTGCAATATGTAAAAAAGCACATTGTATTTTTATTAATGCTCCATTCGTTTTTTTTTTTTTTTTTTCATGTATTTCTCATTTCATTGGTTTCACTCCCTTAATAGCACCTTTTTTTTTTTTTTTTTTTTTTCAAACTTGTTTTCCAGCTGTGACATAACCATAATTGTAAAACACAAAGATGCGTTTATTTTATAACATATAGCAAAGTGTTTTTTTTTTTTATTTTCCTTTAAACCCCCCTTTCTCATGCGATTATTAATACGTTTAATCTTAGTAATTCACTAGTGCAACCAGTTTTTTCACGCAACCACATATGCCATGCGTGCGTATTATATACATGCATAATGCTCCATTGTCATAGGATATTTTACCCGCCGCGGCAACCCATTTGTGCAAGCACGAGTGGACATACGCGCACTCGGGTTATTGCCTTCTTTTCCATTGCTGCACCTGCAAGTAGCTTCTAAATCAAAGGTGCGTTTCCCTTTTTTTTTTCCCATCGTTACGCGTCTTGCGCTTAGTTCTTTTCGATTCAAGTCCTTTCTGGTTTCGTGTTTTTTAATCATTTTCCATTTTGGTATGCGCATGTATATTTTAATTGCTTTTTATTCTTCTTTTTTTTTTCTTTTTTTTGGCAAAGAACAAAACACAACAAAAGAAAAACAAGTAAATATATATAAATAATAAACATTGTTAATATTTCTTGTTATTTCATGTTTACATTCTGTCATCACGATTTTTTCCTTTGCGTATTTCCCCTCAATCGTTTAACATCAGATCAATTTATATATACAGAGTGTTTATTACTTTAATGTATAATATATTCACATTATTCCCTACTCCTTTTTTAATTTTCTTTTTTTTTTTAAAGTTTTTACATTTTAGAGAATTAACCCAATTCTTTATTTTTTTGATTATTGATTATGTTACTTTTTTTTTGCAGGTATTTTTTTATTTTGTCCTTCCAAAGCAGCTAAAGCCCAGCTAGCTTTTTTTTTTTTTTTTTTTTTTTTTTTTTT